GGCTCGGCTACCATAAAGTCATTTTTTTCACAAATAATCTATACTAATATTAATAAGTATTATAAAGAGGTAAAATTTGTAATTTGTATATAGAGGATAATCTTTGGAAACGCTGGTCGCATTTCCAAAATTCTTTCACTGATGGATAGCTACCTACAATGACACTGAGTGCTATAGGCTATAAAACATCACCATACTACCAAAAGAAGCCGAGTAGCGTATGAAACCGCGCGGCAAAAGCTCGTAGATACATAAGTGCACCGAGTGCACGGTTGGCGCGGTGGCTGGGCAACTGGCTGCCGCGCAACGTGTCGCGGATTCGATTCCCGCACGGAACAACTCTTTGTGTAATCCACAAATTGTTGTTCCTAATCTGGGTTTGATTTGTGTATGTGAATTTGTATGTTTGTACGTAAACGCACCCATGACATAAGAGAAAATCCCAGTGTAGGGCAACGCATTAAAAAAAAATTAACTAAGTAATGAGCTACTACGGTTATTCTGAAAATCTTCTGCATTTTTTTTAATATAAGTAGGTGGATAAACTTAAAAAAAAATGATGTACCTACCCGTCTTTAGACTTAAGCTGATGTGACCAGTAAACCGGAAAATCACTTTTGTACGAAAAATGGAGGGCATAGTTAATACCTGTATTAATTAAAAGTTGTTAAACTAAGTTACTTACTGAGCATAGCAGAGGTCTGTCGCTCCTAGCCACAGACGAAGGAGTACAGTTGTGACCCACAGCAATTTCTCAGCCGCCATTTTGTTTTCAGATATTTAATATCCGTTTCATTTAATTTACCTTCCCATTATTAAAGTCTTTTATTATTTTAACAACGATATAATTAATAAAAACTAATCATTACCTAATTATCTACATTATATGCAAATTAGTTTGGTTTTTATCCATTAAATTTTGCTTTGCCGTTCGAATATCTAAGAACATAACTTTTTAAGTTTTAGTCGAATCAAATAATTTATATTTCATTATTGTTATTGAGCGTATTTTTTTTTTATTTTGTTACTAATACTATGAATCCTATTCTAACAAATAATAAATCAAATTTTGTTTTTTTTTCACGACATAAAACCGCGCGAAATTTTGACAGGTGTCGTGAAACCGCGGGAAACGTAATGACGGAGCCGCGGGAAAAATAACGTGATGACCATCGGATGCGTTTTAAACTTTGTGACATGCGCATTGATATTTCAATATTTGATGGATGGGTGGATGGATAGATTGTATGCACTGTGCATTGCTGGTTTTGTTGCGTAATGATCGAGTTTGATGTGAAGGTGGACAGTAATGTATTCGTAATTCTTTTTTTAAATCTACTTATTCAAATAACTGTTTATTTGTTTTAAGTTGATACAACGTAATACAAAACTATGAATCCTGTCAATTCATCATCGCACTTGTAACTATTCCTCGTAAATTAGACGACTTAAAAGCTGCTGGGCATTGACAAAGATTCGGTTGTCGCACAACGAACAATTTCCTGATAGGTAGATATATAGTTTCTTTATTGTAAAAAGTTTTTCGGGATAATGATGGTGATATTAGTAGCATAGCAACTATCTACTTAGCATCCCAATTGAAATGTAAATTCTGCGTTGTTTAGTAAGTCTAACCCTCGTGGCTCGACGAGCACGTTAAGCCACCAAGCACCTTCCACAGTAAACCAAAATACTGACGAAAGGTCCACTGTGATTGCAGACGTACCATTCCATCCCATTTCAATATAAAGAACCAAAGAGTATGAGACATCCATCTTCCATCTAAATCTGTAACCCGATAAAAATGTTTCCAATGAATTACGATATTGAAAAAAAAATCGATATTAGGTAGGTACCTACTTATTATGTAATACAGCTGACGATTCGCTGGCATTCGGGGGTGGGCAGGAGGGGCGGTCGACAGCACTTGAGCTCGATGCGGTCAAACGCTACTCTTCACCGTATTTGCTTGTCATTTTTATAGAGATGTTAATACCAACATATTGGAAACTAGCTACTCCCGCGCGATTTCACTCGCTGCTCGGCTCCGTTTGATTGTAGCGTGATGATTTGTAGCCTATAGCACTTGGGAATATTGTAGCTATCAATAAGTGAAGGAATTATGGGAATCCGACCAGGGGTACCAAAGTTTACCCCCAACATACAAACTTACATACCTCTTTATAATATTAGTATAGAAGTAATATAGATTAGGATATATTGTAATCCATTTTATAGTTATTTTTAATATGTCATTTACCTACCTCATTAGTTTAATTAAAACTAGGTATTTTATTTGTTTTCTTTAATGTTTTACGACGGCGAATGACCAGACTGACCAGATGGATCACCGCAACAACAGAGTAGTTGCGTTTTTAGCCTTTTGGAGATTAGGAATAAGATATAGATTGTGGACGGGACGAACGATAGGGCCTCTGGTAACCCCATTCACACAGGGAAATACAACGCTTTGGTTGTTTCTTGCTGGTTTTCTATGAATCTGAGAGATCACTCCTACCGAGCCAACGCATTTATGCCAAAGCACGGCTCACCCATACACATTTCGCAACAGGCGACACTACGGGCGTCGAGGATCAAGGGACGATCTTCGGCCACCGTAAGCGCGGGTCTGCGGTTAGCGAGTAAGGACAGCTCGCCGCCCGACCAGAACCAGGCCCGAGCGTACGGCGAGTAGCGTTCCGCGCGCGCCTCAAAGAGCCAATAGACCACCACAGATGGGGCCCTATAGGGCTGATGTTCAGCCGGGGTTGCGGGGTCAGCGCAATGAGACACCGCGACTTCGGCCCAGAGCAGGAGAAGGAACGGGGGGGTTTTTAGTCAGTAAGAGTCTGACACTCCCTCCCGCCCGGCCTTGGGCAGTTGAAGTCATTTGATGATTTTCCCCTCACAAAAAAAACCATACACATTTAAAATGTGAGATTGTGCTAATATGATGCTTCTTACCTTTAATCCACATTACAGATACCCTGAATTTACATTGCCCTTATTTATCAATGAAACAAGTTAGTAAGTACCTACAATAACATTAATTTACCTATATTTTTAAAGCTCTTAATTTAGTGGGTATTATCAACTCTATAGAAACACAGTTGAAGTACCGCTACGTGTTCAAGAAGTAAGCTCCACTGGTCCACGTGCAGCATCGGTGTTCCTCAACCAACTCCCGCAACCACTTGACCGGGACTTGATAGTTCAATACAGCATCGCGTATTGGAATTGGCTCCAAGATATCCGATCGATAAATACCTACTTAGTCTGCAAATATCTTGTTTATTCATCAACCCCAAGCGAACGCCGGCTTTCACGCACTTTAAGGTAATCTTAGTAGATACCTGGTGTTGCGGTACTACGACTCCACCCCGGAGCAGGAGTAAAAGCAAGAGATTTTTAGTTAGTAAGAGTCTGACACTTTTTCTCGCCACATCCAGGGCGGAAGAAGTAAGTTTTAGTCTAGCCAAGCATCAGCACGATGGGTCGCTTCGACCGAAGTGATGCCATGGCCTCACAGAACACCGGCGTGAAACAACCACAGCGTTGTTTTTCGCTGTGTGAGTGAGGTTACCGGAGGCCCAGTCCCATCTCAACTATGATACCCTCATCCCAACGTCAAAAGGCCGACAACATACTCGTAACTCTTTTGGTGTTGCGTGGTGTCAATGGGAGAGGCGCCGATTGCCTACAATCATGAACTCCGGTTGCTCGTTTGCCGCCCTATTGATAACAAACTTACGAAAAAGTCATTATGATGATTTTCCCCTCTAAACAAAAGGTACCTAGTCTTAGTTCCAAATTTTATTAAATCACAGTAGCTTGACTTTAAATGCTTATGAAAGTCTGGGATACCATCCACACCGCTGAAGATGAGATGTGATGAGAGGTCAAGATGGCGAAAGAGACTACGAGAAAAACTTTTCTTCTTTCTTCTTTTCTTCTTTTTAAAAAAAACGTTGCCCCTCATCAGGATTTTCTCCTGTGCCGTGAGTGCGGTTACAAACATACACATCACACCTAGACCCGGAACAACAATTTGTGGATCACACAAAGAGTTGTTCCGTGCGGGAATCGAACCCACGACACGTTGTACGGCAGCCAGTTGCCCAGCCTCCGCACCTACCGTGCAGTCAAGGTCACAATTTAGTTCGTGTTTGTTTTCAATGTATCCCCGCATTGAGAACAACCGAATCTAGAAGAAGAAGACCCTATCCGCGACAACATATCAAAATACTAAACTTAATAAACTAGTGAGCCTTACCATCAACGATTGCATCACTGCTTACCATCAGGTAGGATCGCAGTCAAGCACTAGTATAAAGCAAGTAAAAAAAAAAAATACTACCTACTACTTAGTAGATAATAATAATAGATTTAAGCAGAAGCTAGTTTGTCTTTGAGGATTCCTTTTAATTCTAAATTTAATATTCTTCACATACTTAGGCGCCTGATACCTAATAAATTCTTGGGAGTAAAGATAGCATGTAGGTATCTAATGATATGACATGAAAAGTTGGAAGCCATCCTAATTGCAATAAATGTGAAGAAGTCAGAAACAATATACATATACCTTTGATCCCTTTTAAGTACGCTATTAAAAAAGTTGAGAAAGGGAACTTCAAGGATTGGTCCAAGTAGTAATTAATGGTTGTGGGCAGTAAGTCAGTCATATGGGTAACCAAATACTTTTTTATGATAGGTATTGAGTTCTGAAAGAATGGTAACGATAACGTGTGAAATAAAAAAATAAGTGTTAGCGTAATTTGAATTATCAAAAGTTTTAAAGTACCTAAGTCAGGTTCAAATGTAGTACTGAATACTTTCATTATTATCTACTTTTGTGATGTCTTATAATTTTTGATTTATTTGTTTATCAATTAAAGATTATTAAAAAAAAACTTTGTGATAAAATAAATGAGACATTTATCTTCTATTACAAAAATAAATAAGATAAAATTTCTAAACGAACGAAACTGTTAGTCACTGTCATTAGTGTCATTTACTCATATGTCAATGATTCAGATCATTACAGCGCATCTAAATAATACTAAATCTATGGTCTTGTCTGATATGAAAACTCTTCGGTTACCTATGTTACCGACAAGTCACAAAATATCATTGAGATAGAAAAAATATAAACATCTTGTGTCAAGAATCATCATCAGTCATCTGGCGCGGCAGGGCGCCATTTTTTTTTTGAACCGAGCACTCGACGCTTATTTTATGAAATCGGCGAAACATTCAAACGGATGAAGCAAATAATTAAGTAATCTACAAAAACAATAATTTTATCAATAATTTCGAAAAGTGTGAAGTGATTTGTATATGTATAGATCAAACGCATAATAAATGCTTTAGTGAAATTTTAATATCACAAAATGAGTGGTGCAAACTGGAACTCAGAAAGTTCTAAGGAAAAACAACAAGTATTAAATAAATACTGCTTTGTATGCTTATGTACTGATGAGGAGAAGAATCTAAAGAATTATTTCTTTCAATGCTCTTCCTTGAAAGAAGTACTACAGGTAATATTTTTTAACCAATACTTAAAACTTTTAAAAACCTATTCCTCACTACATGTTGACAAATCATTTGTTGCTAAAATTCACTTAGTTTTGCTATATCCAGAATTGTTTTCGATACTAATTCTTGATTTTTTGAGCAAGAGAAAAGCAGATTGACTGTTAATAAATTAGTTACAATTACTTTGAGTAACATAATATTGTATAGATAACTTAAAACAGCAATGAAACACCCACTTTTTATAAGACTTATCACATACTTCTGTTAGAAATGTACAAATTTTTACAATGCCCTTCTTGTCTTTACAAAAACAATTACTTACTTAGTTTTAATGATAGACAGTCTGATGGGTAAATTAAATTTTGCTATTTAACAAGTACCAATGAACTTGCTCACCAGCTCCCCATTGACAATTAACTCCTGGTTTTCACACATACCGGCAGACTTGAGGTTAAAACATCACCATATCCTAGAGCTTGAAAACCGGCAGTAGCTCTGGGCAGCAGATCAATAGAAGCTTCCAATGGGAAGCAACTCCACATGACAAGTTCATGAAATAGATTCACTAATAGTCTTAGTTTAATTGCAAACAAACCCAAAAAAAAATTGGCACAAGTGCAATGAGAGAAACTGAGATATGTACTTTGACTTTCAACATTTTATTTCTGAACAAAAACTACTGAATAAATAAAAATTAGGTTTGACTAATAAATAGGTTTGGCATTTATTGAAATTTCCATTCATTGATAGATTGATACACTTAATTTTAGATATTTTTTAGCAAATTTTTAAGAATTAAGTAATCTATTTGAGGCAATAAAACTCAGTTTTTCATACAAATTTCATAGAAAAGTATCATTTTTGACAATTGGATAAAAGTATTGAATTTGACTTGTTGGATACTACCGTATTATAAAACTAAGTACCTTCCTGTATTAACATATTATTTACATCGATTCTGCCATTGAACTTATTATTTAAATGAAACAAAACGAAACGGTATGAACAAATTAATAGTTTTAATGCTTGGAATTTTGCCTTCAACATTAATGTATTTGCACACTTATTTTCTTACTATTGTGATTCAAAATTACTATGCTTGAAAAGTTAATAATCAAGGGCTGTGATGCTTACATTGATACAAAACTGCTTATTTTTACAGATGAACAACATGGTGCTTTGTTACCTGTGTAGGAAGATGGCGCAGTACGCTGAAACCTTTATACAGAGCGTACAAAGTAATCAGTTGTTACTGGAAAACTTTCAAAATGTGAGTGCTCACGTGAAGTTTACAGGTTTAACATCTAAATGTCAGAATGCAAATCAATGCAAGATATAACATATTTTTATGTTTTGCTGAACTGTACCTACTGAATCATATTCGAGAAAAGATGCATTCTATGCATCATTTCTCGGATCAGTCAATAAGAAATTAGTTTCTCGATTCAGTCAACCGTCAAAAATACTTTAATATTATTATGTAATGTAGTGTTAATTTCTATATTAGTGTTATGAAACTATTGTTAAAAGTTCCCATTGGTCCAAAGAATTTTGGAAAAAGGGATATGTAGTTACTATTTTTTTGTTTGTTTCTTCACATTCCTCATTAATTGGTCCCTCCCCTATTTTGTTATGATATTAGATTGAAACCGTAAAAGCAATTGATAAGGGACAACATCCGGTAATACTTATTGCACATTGACATTTACACACGGTTTCCGAAAGCACACTCAATGTTAAAATCAATTTAATGTCTTGTCAAGTCATCTGGTTGATTGAATTATCAACAACTAATCAGATGACTTGACAAGACTTGACACCTAGTTAGTTGATTTTAACATGGATCCAGCATTCGGAAACCTGGCATTAGATAGAGAAAGAGAAAACTATTTGTTTTTTTTTATTATTATTTGGACAAAACTTGTTATTTACCAATATTTTTATGACTCAAGTAGAGTGCTAGACTATTGGCTCGTTCCAAAACATAATATAAATTAATTGATAAATTATTGAGCTTCACTTGATATTGTTTTCATATCATAGGGATCTTGGGTATAAATATCCGCTAAAACTTTTTTTCACTTAGGCTTCTTACAAAATTCCTATTCGTCATTTTTTTTTCATATTCTATATCTTGGCAATTGCTATTGTTACATTGCCAATTTTTTTTTGTTCATCTGTTTTCTATTTTTTATAATAAAATCCATATTTTCTTTTACAGGTAATGGATGAAACATTAAAATCAGTGAGAACTCAGATGCATCCGCTAGTCAATTTATCATCTGTGTCATTAAATGTGATAGATGTGATGGAGAATGATGGCTCAGGTCTTGAGGAGTCCTTCTCCGTAGTATGTTCTAGAAGTAATAGTGCAGTGCAGATCAAATTGGAAATGAAGGAAGAAGAATTTATGGAGCAATTGGAGGGAGATTTAGTTAGCGGTTGTGATGGTGAATTATATTTTTTTATTGTTTAATCAGATTTAGTTTATATTATGTTCTAGTGGTTAATTATGTAATAGTTAGTTACATATATTTAGTTTTTTGTTTATTTCATAGGTTGGCAAACGAGCATACGGATTACCTGATGGTAAGCAATTGACGCTATCTATGAACACCCGCAACGCCAGAGGAGATACAAGTGCGCTTCCTGCCTTTTGGGGATAATTCTGTGAAGCCGTGGTACCACTCCAGTCGAACTGGAACCTACCCATTCGTGCCCAAGCTTGGCTCTGTAACACTTTATGATAATTATAAACAGATACTCTTTCTTTCTTTCTTTTTCTTTCATACTTATGTTTATAAACTTTCAGATTACCAAGAGCCATTCGTAAAAGATGAGGAAGACGCATTCACTTTGGATAGTTCCTTGAAAGAAGAATTACAACTAGAAGAACTTGATAGCCTAAACCTTATGACACTCAAAGCGACGCTCAAGAAGAATAAAATTAAAAAGAAAAAGACAAAAGTAAAAAAAGAAGATTATCGAGGTACATTCAGGACATTTACGGTTATAAACACTTTCACATACACATATCTTTCCAGGACCTGACGGGCTGCATGTCAAGATTTGGGTCCTGGCCTCGGAGGCTATCAGGCCTCGACTAATAGGTCTGTTCAGCGCATGCTTGGAGAGGGGCCAGTTTCCGCTGTCGTGGAAGACAGGTAAACTGGTCCTCGTGAAGAAGCCGGGGCGTCCTGCGGACTCCGTCCGCGTACCGGCCCATTGTGCTGCTCGACGAGGTGGGAAAAATGTTCGAGAGGTTAATATCAGACCGCCTCGTCGCGCACCTGTCTGGAAGGGGGCCGGATATAGCGGACGGCCAGTTCGGCTTCCGCAGAGGGCGCTCCACGGTGGACGCCATCATGCGCGCCCACGACGGGGACTGTGTTGGCCAGGGGGCGAGTCGTCGTGGCGGTGTCTCTGGACATCGCCAACGCCTTCAACTCGTTGCCCTGGAGCTGTATTCTGGAGGCACTCCGGTATCATCGGGTGCCTGCCTATCTCCGTCGTGTAGTCGAGGCTTACTTGACGGACAGATGCGTCATCTACCCCGGTCACCGGGGCGTTTGGAATCGGCGAGAGGTGTCGCGCGGTGTTCCACAGGGATCGGTCCTAGGACCTCTCCTGTGGAACATCGGGTACGATTGGGTGCTACGCACCGACCTCCCGAGCGGCGTCAGCATTGTTTGTTATGCTGACGAAAAGCTGGTGCTGGCAAATGGGAGATCACATCAGGCGGCGGCCGACCTGATGTCGCAAGCGGTCGCGACAGTCGTTGCAAGGATCCGGCAGTTGGGACTCGAGGTAGCGCTTCACAAGTCCGAGGCCATGTGTTTTTATGGCCGGCGGAACGCGCCACCTCCAGATGGGTCCCAAATAACGGCAGGAGTTACCATCGGCGTCGAGTCGGCGATGAAGTACCTGGGTCTCGTCCTCGACAGGCGATGGAACATCACGGAGCATTTTCGTCGTTTGGCTCCTAAGTTGGAATGGTCTGGGGCCGCGCTTAAGCGGCTCCTTCCCAACCTCGGGGGGCTAAACGCCTCCTGCCGGAGGTTGTATATGGGGATTGTGCGATCCATGGCCCTCTACGGGGCCCCTGTGTGGGCGCTGGACTTGAGGCGGCGGCCGGCTCGTACGCTGGTCGCGTCCCAGAGGGTCATGGCTATCCGGATAATCCGCGGATATCGCACGATCTCCGGAGAGGCGGCGAACCTCCTTGCCGGATCAGCGCCGTGGGATCTGGAAGCGAAGGCGCTCGCGCGCGTTTACAGTTTGCGCGCAGACGCGCATCGCCGGTGCGAAGATCCTCTGCCGCGCCAAATTAGTGCGTGGCGTGGCACGCTACTATAGCAGCGGAAATGGGTCGATTACACCTAACGAGTACAGTGGTGAGTCAGTAAATAAGGTCTCAGCCGAGAGAGTTGCCGAACCGAGTGGGTGTTTACACGTATTGACACCAGTGGCGAGTCAGTTCAGTTTTGATGACGACTTCTGCAATCGATCGAAAAAAAAACGAATTTAAACGGGTTTTAAATCGCCTGTTACTAGATATTATTAACGAATTGTGGATTGTGGTTGGTGAATAAAGTGTTTGAAAAAATACACAAACACGCACACTGCTTGATGACGAATAACGAACGGGTGGCGAGTGGCCGAGTGACAAGCGACTGCGTGTTTATACGTACCGAGCGGGATAGCGAGTCGCTGCGGGGCCATAAGAATGAAGTGGGGTGGTGGGTACTCGGCCTAGTGGGATTCTAGTGACTCTCTCGCCTCTCTTCTCGACCGAGTACTCGGCCGAGCACTCGTTATAGTGTTTATACCAACCGAGCACTCGGCCGAGGACACTGACTCGCCACTGTACTCGTTAGGTGTAATCGACCCTTAAGACCCCTCTTTGAGGAGTGGCTTGAGAGACGCCACGGCGTCCTCACCTTCCGCCTGACGCAGGTGCTTACCGGGCACGGTAGCTTCGGTAGGTTCCTGTTTCGGATCCAGCGGGAGGAAACGCCCGAGTGTCGTCATTGTGAGGACCACCTAGAGGATACGGTGGAGCATACGGTAGCGGTATGCCCTGTCTGGGCTGAGCACCGCCGTGTCCTCAGGGAAGTGATCGGCGGCGGCGACCTCTCGCGCCCGGCCTTAGTCGAGGCCATGGTGCGGAGTGAGAGGAACTGGGATGCCGTCTCCTCCTTTTGTGAAGCAGTCATGCTCGCCAAGAGAGAGGCGGCCCGCGTGAGGGAGCAATCCTCCTCCTCACGCCCCAGCAGCCGCAACTGGCGACACTACGTGCGTCGGGGATCAAGGGACGATCTCCGGCCACCGTAAGCACGGGCCTGCGGTTGGCGAGTAATGGCAGCTCGCCGCCCGACCAGAACCAGGCCCGAGCGTACGGCGCTTAGCTTTCCGCGCGCGCCTCAAAGAGCCATTCGACTACCACAGACGGGGCCCTAAAGGGCTGATGTTCAGCCGGGGTTGCGGGGTAAGCGCAATGAGGCACCGCGACCTCGGCCCAGAGCAGGAGAAGGAACAGGGGGGTTTTTAGTCAGTAAGAGTCTGACACTTCCTCCCGCCCAGAAGTGGGCGGGAGAAGTCATTTGATGATTTTCCCCTCACAAAAAAAACATACACATACCTAGAATAACAATTATTTTTATGTCATATGACGGCAAACGAGCAGACGGATTAGCTGATGGTAAGCAATCAGCGGCTCCCATGGACACTTGCAATAACGGAGGAGTTACGAGTGCGTTGCCGACATTTTGGGGATATGGGATTTTGAGATTTTGGGATACCTCACTCAGTCTTCGCCGACTGAGTGGACACAACGCTGTGGTTGTTTCATGCCGGTTTCCTGTGAGGCCGTGGTAATTCCGATCGAGCCGAGCCATTCGTGTCGAAGCATGCCTCTCCCGCACTTAAATTGTCAATGTGAAAATGACAATTAGTCAATTTCGTTATTATTATGGGTCCCTGGAGTGATAAGAAACCAGTCGAGAACCTAGCGATAACTACAATAATATAATACCTTTGTTTATGTTTATAATTTATGTTTACATACGGTAAGTGATGTGTACATCTGATAAAGATATACATACAAGAACTCTGTCTGTCTGTGTATATTGTTGATGTACCTTATTAAATAAAATAAAATAAAATACCTATAACCAATTACAGTGGGGTTTAAAAAACTAAATAATTTCTTTTTTTTATTCTAGATAGCGATAAGATTCAGAAGTTTTTCATTACTAGAGAACAGTGCTTAGAGGAGAAAGCGAAAATGTTGCAAGACTCCAAGTATATTGAGGCAGCCTTCAAATGTGCAGATTGCGCCAAACATTTTACCTGCAAACAACTATATGACAAACACATGGAGAGACATGATCAGGTATTTATTACTTTGCTTGCTTTTAACTTTACCCTACCTTAAACTAGTTTACTCTACCTACTTTTCCTACCCTTCCTAGCCTACTTACCCTTTCTTACCTTACCCGACCTAGCCTACTTACCCTACCTTACCCTACCCTATCTACCTTACTCTACCTACTCTACCTATCCACCTTACCGACCCTACCTACTTTCGCTAAAATGCTATCAGCGAAAAGCCCAAAAAATAAACCTAATTTTTGAGTCTGTGGCCGATGCGCGCGCAGAGGAAAACTGATTAATTATTCTCGACAAACATTTTTCACAATTCGTCTAGAACTTATCTTTTTTTGAAGTTATTTAGTTAGGTATTATTATATTCAGAAGTGTGTTAAAAAACGTCGTATCGTATGATACACGCGTGTATTGATGATTACAGTCCTTGGCTCCTTTAGACCTCAATGCGCCTCAGCGGCAATCGCCAACATAACACACTTGTTCTCTGTTGTTCTGTTCTCAATTATCAAAATTACTAGCGGCCCGCCCCTGCTTCGCACGGGTCTCCCATTATCTCGCTTACAACCAAAGTGACCCTATTTCCCAGATCTCCCCTCCACTTTTCTAGAATTTTCTTTCATAAAAACCTTCTCCTGACCATAACAAACACATCAAAAAAGAAGTGGCAAAATTGGTCCAGGCGTTCTTGAGTTATGCGCTTACCAACACATTTTGCGATTCATTTTTATATTACAGATTCCATGTTGTCAATTGTTGATAAACTGGATTTTTGTAAATGTGAGAGCCCTGTAACTTATTATAATTGAGTTAGACTTATAGTATAGTGGTACTTGTGTCAGTTGGGAGTTGTCATGCTCACTCAGGAGTCTCATTGGCGGTAGCACGGGCACTGGACCGCTCGGTTCCCTATAATACGGTTGAGTTGGGCGGTGCTGGTGTACGTGTCATATTCGTGAACGGACGCCGCCTATTGGGACTGGTCAACTCGAGACTGTCTAAAGTTGCTGTCCCTGAGGTTCATTTCTTTTTCGGATCATTTGGTTAAACACTAGTGTTACACTGTTCTCACATAATGGAACTATCTAAATTATGTAACAATGCATTGTAAAAAGTGATTGAAAAAGAGTAACCATGGAGTTTCTTGCTCGTTCTTCTCCATAGGAATCTACACTTTGGAACGAGCAAATAGCTTCACTAGAGGACAGGCAGACAGACTGACACATATAAAGTTAAACCTTATGATATCTTTTTTGATTGACGTTCAAAAGTGCCTTTTGTGGTCTACTTGAAATAAAGAATTTGATTTGATTTGTACAACAATGTACTATTAACGAATTCATTGTTTAATTGCAGAGTATAGGAAATTACGAATGTGATATTTGCAAGATAAGAACGGAGTCGGTAGACAAATTAGTTTCTCATTTGAAATGTCACACAAAGTAAGTTGCAGTTTTTTTTAACCAATTTCTAATACTACCCTCATTACTCTTTAACAAATTGTAATAATAATAAATATTTATTGCTGCCGCCATTCGTTATTTTTTGAACCCTGGCTAGTACCAATGGGACTTTTTCCGAGTTATATGTACTTTCTATGACTATTCAGACACTACTGACATTCAGTGAAGGAAAACATCGTAAGGAAATCTGGATTTAACATTTCTAATTATAAGTTTGAAATCGCCAATCCGCCTTGAGCGAGCGTGGTGGTTAATGTTCAAACCTTCTTCGTGTGAGAAGAGGCCTTTGTTCAGCAGGTTTATAGCATTTTGATGTGCATAGTTTTTTTTTATTCCAGTCGCTACAAATGTCGGGAATGTGGACTAGTACGAGCTTGTAGGACAACGATTCTAGATCACTTCTCCGCATATCACAGTGAGGGAGTCTTTTACATTTGCCCTTATTGCAGCAAGACTTTCAAGTGAGTTTCGATGGTATGATTATTGGAACTAAGTTTGAATTCGCTTGTATGTTTTTGATTGTATACGGTTGATATTTTCTTGAGACCGTAATAAAGTTAAGAAGTTACTTACTCGTGAATAATACTAATTAGAAGCGATTGGGTGAGGGGAAGGATTGGGTGTCCGGTAACCTCACTCAACAGCGAAACACAACGCTGTGGTTGTTTCACGCCGGTTTTCTGTGAGGCCGTGGTATCACTCCGGTCGAGCTGACCCATTCGTGCCGAAGCATGGCTCTCCCACATAGCCATGGGATGAGAACCACTTTAAGAGGAAGTGTGTTGAAAAATGTCGTATGACACAAGTGTGTATTGATGATTACTGTCCTCGGCTTTTTAAGACCCTCGCCTGAGGGCTCGGTCCTCAATGCGCCTCTGCGGCACTCACCAACATATTATTATGTATGTGGTCGTTCGACAAACGAGCAGTCGGATTACGTGATGGTAAGCAATGGATGGTCAGCGCCCTCAATTAGGGATTTGGAGATTTAAAGGTTGGGGGAGGGGAAGGTTTGTTCCTCTAGTATCCTCACTCACACGGTGAATCACAACGCTGTGGTTGTTCTAGTTTTCGTTGAGGCCGTAGTATCTGTCCGGTCGAGTCGGCTCATTCTAGCCGACGCATGGCTCTCATACACTTTGTATTGTATTATTAGTGTATTGATTTTTTTTTTAAGTAAATGAATATTTGTGTCAGACGTCAGGCATGTCTCCGCAAGCACGTGTCGGGGCACCGTTCGCGCGCCCGAGTCCACTGCGTGCATTGCCAGCGATCCTACAAAGACGCAGACGGTCTACGAGCCCATATGCTATTGTAACTATACTTCTTTACTATACTTAGGACTTTTTTAATAGTCAGATAAATGTTATCTGTGGAATAAAATTGTTGCTGTCACTGTCTTATACAAACATTCGGACGCGACAGTATCATAATCATTCCCCAGGTAACTTTTATCTAACCATTGAAAAATCGCCGTTGTTAATCAAAAATTATTTTCGCATTATATTATGAACATGTAATTAATTCTTTTTGGCGATAGGTACTATTTATATCTGGCTGGTTTTGATATCATTGAAAGTTTAAATTAAAATAAACAGAATTCCAAATTCAAATTACGAGAATGTGATGACATCATATTTTGTTTGTCGTACAAAGTTACTAACATATTTCGGACAAAATGTAACAGAACTATTGTAATCAATGATATTATAAGTTAAAAGGTGTAGATAGGTTACCTAAACAAAATTCGATTTTCAAAAACGACACACTGATACACACATGAACAATTCGTATGTTGAGACGTCAAAGTGGGATGGCATGATTCAATAATCGCGAGTGAAAAAGAGACAAATATGAAAAAGGTGTAACTAGTTAGCCACATTTTAATATTTATTTGCTGAGCTCTTGTAACCTATCTACACCATTTTACTTATATTATATCATTGATTGTAACAGTCATTTATCCAAACTATCCAAACTAATATTATAAATTCGAAAGTAACTCTGTCTGTCTGTCTTTTCTTCACGCCTAAACTACTGAACCTATTAGTGTGAAATTTGGTACAGACATAGCTTAGAAACTCGAGAAAGGACATAGGATAGTTTTTAACCAAAAATCTCTAGGATGCCACTATTTCACGCGAACAAAGTCGCGGGCAAAAGCTAGTTTTATTATATTTATATTCATTACTTATTCATAATACTTTTCATTTTAGACGCTAATCTATGGAATCATATTCTCAAAAACCGATGATAGTAATTAGATTGCTTAAAAAAGCATGTAGGTAATCTCAGAAATGGCCCTTACGATTTGCTGAAATTTTATATGTTGGATTTTCGTAGAGGGTCCTCTAGTATACACATATATATTATATGGTATTAAAATAAATATTCTAATTCTGAAATCAATCTCGGTTTTATACAGGAAACACGCCAAAGAGATATCAGCTCGGGAGGTAAGCAAAAAGTATGTCTGCCAAGAGTGCGGCACGGCGTTCAAGACACCTTCGCATCTGAAGACCCATGGACTTAAGCATACTGACTCCCGGAACTATTATTGCGTCGAATGTGACAAGTAAGTGACTAAGCGTTTTGCCTCGTCATTTATACCGCGTACATCGAGGGATTGGAACAGTTTGCCGGCTGCAGTCTTTCCGTCCGAATACAATTTAGGTGTCGTCAAGGCTAGAGTGAATAGGCTCTTAATAAACTAGTGCGCCTTACCATCAACGATTGCATCACTGCTTACCATCAAGTAAAAAAAAAAAATAAGTGAGTTGTGCCAACCCGGGAAACGAACCTAACTTCAACGTGGCTGAACAAGCCAACACGATGGAAGTAAGTGCGCGTACTGACGGCAGAGGGCGTGTCTTGAGTAATCAGATGGATGCGAGACGTCGCGCGATGCGCACGCTTCTCGGACACTTATTCAATAACAGTCCCGATGTGACTTGAAAACTAGTAGAGCTTTTCGCAATTAATTCACGCTAGTAAGTCGTTATACACAATAAACCGCGCGAGATTAGCTAGTTGTTAAATATTTTCTCTTTGAATTGTTCCAGGAGTTTCAAATCGGCTGCGACGTTGAAGACACATTTGCAGACTACAGCTAAACATACTAAATATATAGAGTTACCGTGAGTATTGCTTTGTATTGTACCCACGATTGTATTATTGTAACTTCTGAAGTATTTTTTGTATTACAAAATCGTCAAATTACTTCATACGCTCTGGGTAGGACGTCAAAGGCAGAGTCAAAGTCAAAATCATTTATTCCAACTTAGGAAATAATTAGGAACTTTTAAACGTCAAAATAGAATAGAAAAAGCTTGACTTGTAGAGAATGCCGCCATATGGCATTAAGTCCGCCTTTTGTACCAAGTAGTACCAACTCCATTTCATTGTACATTGAAAATCTATATCTATGTCTATACTTATAATAAATCCGTAGAGAGTTCAATTCTGTACATTAAATATATTTTCAAAATAACTACCAGGGGGTGATAAGTGATTGATACTGATGTCAAAAATGCAATCAGTAAAATTTTTGTCTGTCTGTCTGTCTGTATGTTCCTTATAGAAACAAAAACTACACGACGGATTTTAACAAAACTTGGTACAAATATTCTTTATACTCCTGGGCAGGTTATAGGATACTTTTCATCACGCTACAAATAATAGGAGCAGGGCAGTGATAGGAAATGTTAAAACGGGCGAAGTGTTGTGTTGTCGCGTGTGTAGTAGTCCTTAATGGTTCAAGTTACATAGATATTATGAATGACGGAAATATTCTACATAAAATTATCTAAAAAAATGTTTGATAGCATATATGTCTATATTTTATGGTTAACTCACAATAGCACGTGTATCTCCTGATAGTTTAGCAGTTCGGATAATAAGTCACTGTGAACAAGTGAACACTGAATCATGCCATTATTAAAAAAAAATGCCATAAGGATTATTTTCGTGTAACGGTTGCCGCGCTCGACGCGACGAGTTAATATAATATATTAGGTTTTATGAAATATTTGTAATACTTACCTATTATTAGATCCGTACCATTTTATGTATGTAAGGACGGATAGCGGAGACTTAGTAAGTAATAGGGTATTTACCCACTGGAGTACATCTCCAGTGGGTCCATCAAAATAATAGTAAATTATAAATTTAAAATTTAAAAAACCCCCGACAAAAATCTAATATTCTTTTAAAAAGTAATTATTATTACTTATATCATTTATATATCATTTGACACCCCACTCGAGTATATTTGCAGACCTTCGGTTACCCTTCCCCACTTACCCCTCCATAACTTCTAAACAGCTCAACCGATTTTCGTCAAACATGTCTAAGAACACTAGCACGTAAGTCATCTATAATACAAAAAAAAACTAAATTGAAATCGCTTAACCCGTTCAGGCTCCAGGATGCCACAGACAAACAGACAGAGACGTCAAACTTATAACACCCCTCTTTTTGCGTCGAGGGTTAAAAAATCAAAAACAAAATCATTTATTTCAATAACACCTTTATAAAAACTTTTAAATGTCAAACAAAACTAAAGAATGAAAAGTGTTAGTCCTCTTAGTGAAGCTATTTGCTCGTTCCAGTGTCCTATGGAGAAGAACGAGCAAGAAACTCCACGGTTATTATTTTTCAATCAGTTTCACATACAGATTCTTTGTTGCGTTATTAAGTTATTAGCGAACTGATAAGTAATTAAATACAAAAATTGTAAAATACCCATTTTATTGCACCTAGGTGTTTTTTTTGTTTTTTGTGTTTTAGGTGGGAAAACGAGCAGACAGATTACCTGATGGTAAGCAATCAGCGCCGCCCATGGACACCCGCAACGGAGGAGTTACGAGTGCATTGCCGACCTTTTAGGAATTTGGTATTTGGGGATTTAGGGATTGAGGAGGGATTGGGGGTGGGGAAGGATTGGGCCTCCGGTAACCCCACTCACGGCGAAACACAACTCAGTGGTTGTTTCACGCCGGTTTATCTGCGAAGCCGTGGTATCACTCCGGTCGAGCCTCCGAAAGGTCGAACAATGTTAAAATCAACTAACTAGGTGTCAAATATCTTGTCAAGTCATCTGATTGGTTGTTGATAATTCAGTCAACCAATCAGACGACTTGACAAGAGATTAAATTGATTTTAACATTGATCGACCTTTCGGAAACCGGGTGTTAGTGTCCTTACAAAATCGATTGCTTACCATCAGGTAGTTCTTCTACTCGTTTCCTTACCGTATTTCGTAAAATATTATTTTCTCTTTCTTGCAGGTTAAAATGCCAACATTGTGATAAGCGTTTCGCGATCCGTCGCGACCTGGAGCGACACACAAACAGAATACATCTTAAGCTCAAACCTTTCTCGTGTGACAAGTGTGACAAGGTAACAAAATCGTTTTTTTTTTAAATTTTTTTCAACACACTTCCTCATATAGTGGCCCTAGTCCCATAGCAATAAGGCACGTAATGACACCTATAATAAAACTGTGACTTTTTCATTATTATCATTCACAAATGAGTAATAGAATTCTTTTTATATTATGGATTGAGTAACGCACACACTTGCGATAAAATGCTATCAGCGCAAAGCCCAAAAAAAGGAACATAATTTTTTAGTCTATGGCCGATGCGCGCGCATTGGAGAACTGATTAATTTTTCCCGCCATTACGAAACATTTTTCGCAACTCGACTTTTTTTCTCTTTTGAAGTTACCTTTAAGTTACCTATGTAAATTGTTTTTTATTTAAGCCCTGATTTTTCAACGGTTAGAGAAAAATTATCTAGGGAATAATAATGATCCTGTCGCGTCAAAATTTTTGTAAAGACATTGACAGCAACAATTTTGTTCCTTAGACAACATTTATCTGACTATTGAAAAATCTGCCCTAAGTATTATTTTATTTAGAAGTTTGTTGAAAAACGTTATATGATACACGTGTGTATTGATGATTACCGCTGAAGCTCATTGAGGCTCGAGCCGTGAGGCGAGGGTTTTAAAGAGCCGAGGACATTATACACTTGTACCATAGTGTATTATTATGGAATAGGAGCCAAACGAGCAGACGGATCACCTGATGGTAAGTGATCGGCGTCAGCACAGACACCTGCGGAACCCGAGGAGTCACGGCGTTGCCAGCCTTAAAATATTTAAATATCTATTACATTTAATATTAAATATGCCGTTAAATATTACATTTAGTATTCTTAAATCTGGTCGTATAATAATAAAATCATACTCAATACTCAATACTTTATTGCTTTCCACATGTATTCTTAGGTGGTAGTACTTATAAATAGTTCACATGGACCCTGTCGGGCACAGCAAAGTAAGTGGGATAGGAGAGAGGAAGCTCTTATCGGCTATGTTACTTATTTTTGTTGACTAAGACTAAGGTTATATAGGCAAGTAAGTTAATGTGTGTGTGTGTGTGTGTGTGTGTGTGTTTGTGTGTGTGTGTGCGTGTGCGTGTGCGTGTGCGTGTGCGTGTGCGTGTGCGTGTGCGTGTGCGTGTGCGTGTGCGTGTGCGTGTGCGTGTGCGTGTGCGTGTGCGTGTGCGTGTGCGTGTGCGTGTTCGTGTGCGTGTGCGTGTGCGTGTGCGTGTGCGTGTGCGTTTGCGTGTGTGTGTGTGTATTGCGTGTGACTGTTTATGTCATCATCACCATCCTTTAGGTGCCCACTGTTGAGCAAAAGGTCCTTCTCCCATGGATCCACCTTGATGGAGCAAGCGTAGTGATTAATGTTCAGACCTTCGTGTGAGAAGAGGATTTAGATCATCTGTGGGTACTTATAGGCTAATGATGATGACAATAATATTGCTTTCAGAATTACGTGAACTCATGGTCCTTGAAACAGCATCAGATGTTGATCCACGAGGGGTACAAGCGGCCCCTGGCGTTCCCGTGTTCCATGTGTGATAAAGTCTTTGATGTAAGTGTCAGATGTGGTTTTTCGCAAACTTTGTAGTTTTTGTTTCTGCTGTAAATATACAAATAATATTTTATTTCTCTCTTGAAAAAAGCGTTGCCCCACGTTGTTCGTTGCATCAATGATAGAAGAAATCTTAGTTTCTTCTATCATTGATGCAAATACATGTGTACAAATACAATTTTACATACACATCACACCCAGACCCCGAATAACAATTTGTGGATCACACAGAGTTGTTCTACAGTTCTTCTAGTTGTTGTGGTATCACTCCGGCCGAGCCCACCCATTCGTGCCGAAGAATGGTTCTATTCACGAGATTATATCATTATTTTCAATAAATGACAAATAATATAATAAAATAATAATTCTTTGTTTCAGCGAAAGCAAGTTTTGAAGGCTCATTTGCGAACCCACACCGGCGAGCGTCCCTACCAATGCAGCAAATGTCCAGCCCAGTTCAGTCAATCCAGCATTTTACGGACCCACGTTAGACTTATACATCTAAAACTGACTAGGGATGGTCGACCTAAGGTCAAATGAAGGCCTAAATAGCTTAACTTTTTCTATAGAATACTACGGCTAAATAAAAGTTTTGACCTCAATTTTATGTCACGGGTCAGTCAACCTATGGGCAAAATTACCTGATGGTAAGCAATCAGCGCCGCCCATGGACACTCGTGGTACTAAAGGAGTTACTAGTTGCGTAGGTAGTGTTGCTGTTACCGTTAGTGCCGTAAAACTGCATTTCATTAACAGCAATTACATTTATTTCTACGGCATTTTTGTTTCTACGGCACAAGAACGAGTGCATATCTAATACCTCGATTATTAAATTCTTTACCAACGTATGCGTAATACCATAACCAAAAATAACATAAAATATAAATTAAGAACACATTTCTTCGCAAATATGTAACAGAACACTACCGAGTTCACAATGCGGAGTATTTTCTAAGTACCCACTACTTGGAAAGTATTTGGCAGTGTGTTGATTGATTGATTGTTTTGTTATAAATTGTTGAATGTTAAGTTTATGTATAATACGGTAGTTTCCAACTAGTCAAATTCAATACTTTTATCCAAACGTCAAAAACGATACTTTTCTATGAAATTTGTATGGAAAATTGAGCTATGACGTCATAACATTTTTGCGTCAAGTAGCTTACTTATTTCACAATAATTAGCTAAAAAAAATCTAAAACTTGGTGTATCGATAGATCGATCGATGAATAAAAGTATAGTTATTTTTCAATATTTTATAGTATTGAAACATCGAATTAATTTATTTTTGACCTGGGAAACTACCCAATTATTGTGTGAGACGAATAGAACAGTATATGTAATAGTATCACACACAAACCCGAGAGGTTTAAGTGATGCTGAACCAGTTAAAACCTGTTAATATTATTTTTGATAATTAAATAAAAAAAATTAGGGCTGATTTTTCAATGGTAACATAAAAGTGACTTAGGGAATAATTATGATGCTGTCTCGCCAGAATGTTTGTATAAGACAGTGACAGCAACAATATAATTCCTCAGATAAGTATTTTCTGACATTGAAAAATCAGGCCTTGAACACCTATTATGTAGGTATAATTTAAGTAATTTTTACATTATTAATGATTAGGAAAGGGCCTAATAATTAGTTAATAAAGGATTAAAATGTTTTGGTTGTGAAATAGTGTAATAAATAAAATTTATTATATAATAAACTTTGTTTTATTTTTCTTTAGCTTCTGTAGACCCGGACAGTAAAATTAAAATTGTTATCAAATGTTGATTAATGTTATGTATATATCGTGGTACCCTGGATATATCAGGGTAGAAGCCTTTAAAAATAATGAAAAAGAAAAAAAATATAGTAGGATGCAACCTATTATTTTTTACCTTTAATAACTCACCCCATCCCCTTCCCGTAAATTAATGTTTCGTTTCATTTTTTCCTTTTCTAATGGGCTTCATCATCCTACTATTATTATTTTTTTTGTTTTAAAAACCCTGGTCTAGGAGGTTAAGGCAATCTTTTTTTGAGAGGGAAAATCTATTGCCTCGCCCAGTGTGAGGCGAGGAGAGTCAAACTCTTACTGACTAAAACTACCCAGTTTTTCCTCTTGCCCCAGGCCGAGAGGCCTCGGTACCTTATTGCGCTTGCCCTACAACCCATTCTGAACATCAGCCCCGTTGGGCCCAATACGTGGTAGTCTACTGGCTCTTTGAAACTTGCAAATAGGTGCTAGTGTTACTATTTCCGAGTTCTGTGTTCTTTCTAAATTTGAAAAGGAAGAAAAGAGGAGATTTTCCTTATTATTAAAAAATAGTAAGGAAAATGGTCTTAAAATTTCTAATTATAGGTAAGTTTGAAATCGCCAGTCTGTTGTGAGCAACTGATAAGATAATTGTTGAGCTCAATACGGTAGTTTCCAACTAGTCAAATTCAATACTTTTATCCAAACGTTAAAAACGATCCTTTTCTATGAAATTTGTATGAAAAAGTGAGCTATGACGTCATAACATTTTTGCGTCAAATAGCTTACTTATTTCATAATAATTAGCTAAAAAAAATCTAAAACTTAGTGTATCGATCGATCGATGAATAAAAGTATAGTTATTTTTCAATATTTTATTGTATTGAAACATCAAATTAATTTATTTTTGACCTAGGAAACTAGCCAGTTGGCAGTTATGGGCTGATGATGATCACGATATTTCTGTTTTAAAAGTTCTGCAGTTTAATTCAACGGGGCAAGGAGAAAAGACGATGCCTACTTTCATACAATGAGACAGTTTCCAATTCAATAGCTTTATAAAAAGCTTTAAAACGATAATTTTCTATGAATATTGTATGTAATAGCACTTTATACGTCATAATATTTTAACGTCAAATATAATAGGTAGGTACTTATTTATCAATAGAAATAAGAATAATAAGCACCTTAGCATAACGTAAAATATATGGATATAGGTGTAATTATATTCTATTTTTTGTATTCTAACTAGCCAATTAGGCCAATTGGGTTGTTTACAATAAAATTATTAGTGTCCCTTCGTCCAGCATACTCACCATGGAATCCTGATATTTCATGAATGTCAAAAAACTGTTCTGAAATAGTGCTAAATAGTGCCCAAAGGAAAAAAATAGTGCTCTTGTACTTGCGAAGTTATAGCCATAGTTCGATGAGTATGCTGGACGAAGGTTTCGCCCAGCATACTCACCTCCGTCCGGAGAATCTGTATACGCTTCAAACATAATTCATACTTCAAAAAATAGTTCCCAAATAGTGCCAAACGGTGCCCAAAAAGAAAAAACAGTGCTCGAATAACTTCGGAGTTATAGGCTTCGTTCAGTGAGTATGCTGGGCGTAGGTTCTACGCCCAGCATATACTCACCTCAGTGCGCGAATATCGAACGAGCTATAGGAACAATTTACGTCTCAAAAAATTGTGCTTGAAATAGTGCCCAATATCAGTCCAATTTTTGCTTGACTTTTGACTTAGAAAACCATTAAATTTTAATGTAAACTTCTACATACTAACGTAAAATGGGGTACAGTCGTCGACACATGTTTTTGGACAAAAATATTAAACTTTCTAATTGTAGACTTCATGTTATTGGAAATAATTATGGTATTTTCTCACATGTCAAAAACTTTCGATTAAATGCCGCGCGTCGTAAGCCCCATACCTATTGACCGTACGTGCATCCATTACTGCCACACTATATTGAACTTTATCACATGAGGAATACAGGTCAATTCCGTAAACGTTGTGGTACCGTCCTTGATCCGGAAAATGATTATTTTGAATAATTTTGTCAGTTGTAATGTAAGCATTAATAACAGCAACTTTATTTTTCATGCATGATTTACTTCATTTGATATCTTAATCCTTCAAGCGCCGTGATCTAGACAAAATATATAAAATCATTGTTCCTAGCTACCGGGGTCCCATGCGACGCGCGAAGGCTTAATCATATTATTATAAAGTATTATTAAAATAATGTGTAATTAATAATATTGCGATTCTAAAGTAATTACATAGACAATTAATAATTTACACAAGACAAAAATTGTTAGAAAGAAAGTTAATAATATTGTATTCGACTGTACTCAATGTAATGTATGTAGAAGTTTACAATCAAATTTAATGGTTTTCTAGGTCAAAAGTCAAGCAAAAATTGGACTGATATTGGGCACTATTTCAAGCACAATTTTTTGAGACGTAAATTGTTCCTATAGCTCGTTCGATATTCGCGCACTGAGGTGAGTATGCTGGGCGTAGAACCTACGCCCAGCATACTCACTGAACGAAGCCTATAACTCCGAAGTTATTCGAGCACTGTTTTTTCTTTTTGGGCACCGTTTGGCACTATTTGGGAACTATTTTTTGAAGTATGAATTATGTTTGAAGCGTATACAGATTCTCCGGACGGAGGTGAGTATGCTGGGCGAAACCTTCGTCCAGCATACTCATCGAACTATGGCTATAACTTCGCAAGTACAAGAGCACTATTTTTTTCCTTTGGGCACTATTTAGCACTATTTCAGAACAGTTTTTTGACATTCATGAAATATCAGGATTCCATGGTGAGGATGCTGGACGAAGGGACACAATTATTACAACAAGACTTATAGGTAGTTACTTGACAATCAGTACTGTCACATCCGATACTTCTTGGGGTGTTTTTTTTTTTTTTTTTTTTTTTGTGAGGGGAAAATCATCAAATGACTTCTCCCGCCCAGGGCCGGGCAGGAGGGAGTGTCAGACTCTTACTGACTAAAAACCCCCCTGTTCCTTCTCCTGCTCTGTGCCGAGGTCGCGGTACCTCATTGCGCTTACCCCGCAACCCCGGCTGAACATCAGCCCTTTAGGGCCCCGTCTGTGGTGGTCTATTGGCTCTTTGAGGCGCGCGCGGAACGCTACGCGCCGTACGCTCGGGCCTGGTTCTGGTCGGGCGGCGAGCTGCCCTTACTCGCCGACCGCAGGCCCGTACTTACGGTGGCCGGAGATCGTCCCTCGATCCCCGACGCCCGTAGTGTCGCCAGTTGCGGCTGCTGGGGCGTGAGGAGGAGGATTGCTCCCTCACGCGGGCCGCCTCTCTCTTTGCGAGCATGACTGCTTCACAAAAGGAGGAGACGGCGTCCCAGTTCCTCTCACTCCGCACCATGGCCTCGACTAAGGCCGGGCGCGAGAGGTCGCCGCCGCCGATCACTTCCCTGAGGATACGGCGGTGCTCAGCCCAGGCAGGGCATACCGCTACCGTATGCTCCACCGTATCCTCTAGGTGGTCCTCACAATGACGACACTCGGGCGTTTCCTCCCGCTGAATCCGAAACAGGAACCTACCGAAGCTGCCGTGCCCGGTAAGCACCTGCGTCAGACGGAAGGTGAGGACGCCGTGGCGTCTCTCAAGCCACTCCTCAAAGAGGGGTCTTACCGCTGCTATGGTAGCGTGCCCGACTTCTTGGGGTGTGGTTTCAAAACTTAGTATGACAGAATGTGACTTTGTCCTAGGTAAGTTTAATATCCAATTTCTAGAATTTATTTACACAGCCGGGGTTGCGGGTTAAGCGCAATAAGTCACCGCGGCCTCGGCCCAGAGCAGGAGAAGGAACGGTTTTTAATCAGTAACCAGTACCCTGGGAGGGAAAGGTCATTTGATGATTTTCCCCTGACAAAAAAAAAAACATACGGTGAAAGAAAACATCGTGAGAAGACTTTTTCTAATTATAATTTTGAAATCTCTTATCAGCCTTAAGCAGGCGTGGTGATGAATGGTAAAACCTCCATTTAAGAAGGCTTTTTCTGCAGGAAAGTTGGCGGCAAAACTTGAAAAAGTGCGACATAATTAAGAAAATGTATGACACGGGTCACACAGGGTCCCTTCGCCCTACATTCCTAGACGGAACTAGGGAACGGAACTACCGGGCGACTAA